GAAAGCACAGAGCTGCTTTGCCCTGTGTTATCTCCCTCCTGTGTTCAGCGTCAAAAAGCTCCTGGACCCAGGGCCAGGGATAAAAAGCTCAGTGGCACCCCCACTTGCCTTGCAAGCCCAAGACCCTGAGTTCGATCCCCAATAGCGCCCCCCCGCAAAAAAGACTTCTTGGCTGGGCATGGTGGCGCACGCCTGTAATCCCAGCACTCAGGAGGCCAAGGCAGGAGGATCGCTGTGAGTTTGAGATGAGCGGGGGCTACACAGTGAGTTCCAGGGCAGTATGTACTACATAGTGAGACCCTGTCTCAAAAAAAAAAAAAAAACTCCTTGAACCCTATTAGGGAGGGATTTTTATGGAGGATTCACACAACACTGTTGATTAAATCCATGACCATTGGTGATTGAGCTCAGTCTCCAACCCCTCCTCCGTGGCTTACTGCTTCAGTTTAAACTTAGGTGTGATGAAAAGAGGCTATTGAAAAACAAAAGATACCCCTATACTTTAAAAAATTCCAAGGGTTTTAAGAGTTCTGTTCTAGGAACTGGAGTAAAGACTAAATATGTATATTATATCAGGGAGATAGCATACACAAGTTTGTAATGTCAAAAAGTTTTGTGTACTCTAGGAAAATGAAATCAGGATAAAGTTTTGAAGTAGGCAGGAAAGTGCTTTCATATGTAGGTGAGGTGGTTGGGGAAGGCCTCTAAGGCATTTTACAGAGGCCTTCATGATGCAAGACAGGAACCATGAGAGTATCTGGGGAGAACATTCCAGGCAGAACGCCTGAGATGAGGTGTGCTTATTGTGTCCAGAGTGCTGTAGAAGTCACTGGCTGGAGTACAGAGCTCAAGGGGAGGCTGGTGTGGCAGGAAGCTGCTGAGGGTTTTGAGTTAACTAAGCATTGTTCTGGATCAGCATCACTGTTCTGTTGTGAGCCAGCATGGAACACTGGGATTACCTTCAGTCCTTCCTCTATGTCTAGTCATTAAGTTTAGGTAATTCAGGTAATACTTAAGAATTGTTAGCTAGGCATGGTGGTGCATGCCTATAATCCTAGCACTTAGGATGGTGCGGCAGGAGGATCACTGATTTTGAGGTCAGCTTGAACTATATAGCAAGACCTTGTGTTTAAAAAAAAAAGGGGGGGGCTGGGGATTTGGGTCCGTGGTTCTGCCACCTGTCTCGCAAGCACAAAGGCCTGAGTTTGATCCCCAGTACCATGAAAAAATAAATAAATGAATAGATAGCTCCAAAAAAAAAAAAAAAAGAAAGAAAACTGTTATGTCCCTTTACTCTATGATTCTCTCTCTCTTTTTTATTTTTTTTCGTTTTTTGTTTTTTGTTTTAGTTGCTGTCTTTCTGTTCTGGTTGATGAAGCAGAAACTTTTTGAGACTGAAAACTAAAAATTGTTTTACTGGAAAAATTTACAAATTTGTATTTTATGAATTCCTGACTTGTTCAGCATTTTATGCAGCACTCTTACCTGTTGGTTTGTATTGTTTGTTTGTTTGTTTTTTAAGGTAAAGTCTCAACTAAGTAGTCTAAGCTTGGCCCTGAACCCACTATGTAGCTCAGGCCGTTCTCAGATTCGCCGTCCTTCTGCCTCTGTCTCTGCCTCTGGAGCGCTGGGATTGCAGGTGTGCACCACCACATCCGGCTTCCTCAGTTCTCTTAACTGGAAAATCGCTTCATTTTTGTGAGGCTGGGTTGTAAGGGTGAAATGATACATGTGGAAAACACCAGTGGAAAGCATGGCATATAGGACCAATCAGTCATCGTAGGGTTCCTGAGCTCAGAGTACTCATTTGAACGCTTGCTCGTGAAGTTCCCTTGCTGACATTCCATCAAGATACCTCCGTGTACCTTCCCTTAGTACTGTTCAGCCTAGCCTTCATTTTCATGTAGTGTTTGTGCTGTATTTGTGTGCTTATCTCAGCAACTTCCTGTTCCTTATAATATTCCAGGGAGGTCTAGGGAATCTTACCTACCTTTTCTAAATGATTGGTGTTAGTGGTTAAACACACCCTAATTGGCACACCTGTTACAATCGCCTGTCTGTCCTGTGATCCTTTGTAGTACTGGTTTCTGGGTCTGGGGTGCATTGACTTCAAGTAGATTGATTGCTGTATCTCAGTGTAGGAGTTTTTTGTACTTTCCCTTAGACCTGAGAACAGGACTGCCTGTTCAAAACCAAGGTGTGCATTCGAGCATTCAATTTTTTTTTTTTTTTGTGATTCCTTTTCTCTCCCTCCCTGTACTCTTTCTTGCCTTCAATAGCTTCCTCCTTCCTCATCTTTGGAAGACGCTACTGAAACAACCGAGAACAACTTGGAAGAGGAGATTGCAGAGACCATAGGTGAAGTCTCAGAATCTGTCACTGAGAAAGAAAAAGAAGAGGACCGTCCCAGTGATGTTAACTCTGAAATGCAGCAGATCCTTGCACGGGTTCGACAGAACTTTGGCAAAATCAATGTCGTGCCCCAGTTTTCTGGGGATGACCTGGTTCCTATAGAGGCGTCAGACATCGAGGAAGGGCTAGAGAGCTTTTCTACTGAGGAGGAGGAGGAGGAGGAGGAGGAGGAAGAGGAACAGGAGCAGGAGCAACCAGATACCAAGGAAGAGGCTCATCAGGAGTCCCAGGAAGAACAAGCGGGAAATGACACCAAAGCAGTGATTAAAGCCCTGGATGAGAAGATTGCAAAATACCAGAAATTTTTAAACAAAGCCAAAGCTAAAAAGTTTTCAGCAATCAGGTAATACTGTCATCATCTTAGAAATTGCAGTTTGTGCCTTTCTCTAAAACTTGCTATGAGTAGTGGAGAGGGGTTGTACATGCTAGGCAAGTGCTTACCACTGAGCTCCTCCCCAGCCTGAGCAGTTTTTTGGGTTTTTTTTTTTTTTTTGGTTTTTAACCAGGTTATTATTTTTTTAAAGTGATCTGTAAAGGCTGGACATGATGGCTCATGTCTGTATTCCTAGCATTCAGGAGGCTGAGGCAGGAGGATTGCCTGGGCTATTGTGAGTTCAAGTCCAGCCTGGATTATAGAGCAAGACCCTGTCTCAAAAATAAAAAGTGATAGGGCCAGGGATTTATTTAGTTCAGTGGTTCTGCTGCCTGCCTCACAAGCACAAGATCCTGAGTTCGATCCCTGGTACTAAAAAAAAAAAGAGTGATCTATAAATTATGGAGTATGAAAAGCTTAATTATCCAGTATTTTAGAAATGCTTAGGGAGCTACAAAAACTGTTGAATGTTGACTCCTTCCCCTGGTGTTACTAAAGGGGAGTGGAACGCCTGTCTGTGGGGGTGTGCCACATCTCCAGGTCAGCCTGACCGGTATAGTTGAGAGTGATACTGGGCAGCCTCATTACTTTGCTTCTTTGCTTTTGTGTTTCAGGATATCCAAGGGGTTAAGTGAAAAGGTTTTTGCAAAATCTGAAGAACCAAAAAAGACACCTAAAGAAGAAGAAGTAAACGAAACAGGTAAATATGAATTATTTAAATCATTTCGATGTGGTTTGCATCTTTAGAATTGAGGAGACCTCACTTTAATTTCCAGCTTCTCTCGGGCATTGTTATCCACATGAGCATTTGTCATATCTGGTGAATTACCCTGCTTCCTCGTACTACTTAGCACACAAATTGGGTTATCTACTTTTCGTTGTGCACATTGGTTAGGATTAAATTGGCAATTCAGGAATCTTCTTAAAAATGGTACCTTATTAACCGTAGAATCTAAGGATGCGTGCACAGATTGGGGCAGAGGCATTTCACACATTTGTCTTTTACTCCTTTGGACTGACAGCTTCCACATCGAGGGTGTTTGTGTGACACGAGTGCAAACCCTGCCATGGCCTGCATGGTCTGGCCTGACCTGGTGCCTTCCCAGCCTCGTCCTACTTTATTCTCCACTTTGCTCACTCACCCCATCCATTCTGGTCTTCCTCTCCTTTGGATAAACTTGTTCCTTCCATAGGGCTTGCCGACAAACTTTTAGGTACAAAATTCTTTTTTTCCTATGTGTTTTTATTACTGTTTGTCTCTAGCACCTACTAAAAAGGGAAGGAAGCGGAAGGCACAGAGGGAAGAGGAACAGTCAAGTAAAACTCAAAGGATGCTTACATCTAAGGAAGTAAGTATTTTAGTTCATAAATAAAAACCAAGTATAGGACCGGGGATTTAGCTCAGTGACACCATGCCTGCCTTGCAAGTGCAAGGTCCCAAGTTGAATCGCCGGTACAAAACCCAATAGCAAGTAAAAGAAGTCTGATCTCAAAGCCCACTCTTTCTGAATCAAGGATGGTCTTGGAGCTGAACCCAGGAAGCTCAATCTTCAGTGACCTGGATGTTGGCACTTATTTAGGATCAAAAGAGGCCTGCTGGATAGAAGTCCTCAAGTCCATGTCCATGACTCAAAAATTCCTGGTCACTGTCTTCTCAGCTGTGGCCTATCATCTGGAAGAGTTGGAATGTTTTGTATAGTTCCAGGTCGATGATACATGAGCAGCAGAGCTAGCTAGGCAGGCTGATTGCTATCCTCGTGAAGGACAGCTTTGTGACAGCTGTGCAGGCCCTCTCGGGAGGGGAAGTTTGTCAGGAATATTGCAGAAAGCAACCACGCACTGGATGAGAACCTATGAGTCGGTGGTCACAATGGAGGAGTAAACAGGTATCTGGGGGAGCCTCCCTCCTTGGCTCTGCTTCCAGGATCTGTGATGGCTACACAGGAAGTGGAGGAGAGGTGAGAGATGGGCTCCTGTTTCATGACTTTCAGATTTTGATTCTTTGTTTTTGTCTTTTTTGCTGCTTTTTACAGCGAAGGCGAGCAGCACGACAGCAACAATCCAAAAAAGTTGGTGTACGCTACTATGAAACACACAATGTGAAAAATAGGAACCGGAACAAAAAGAAGACCAATGACTCAGAAGGACAGAAGCACAGACAAAAAAAATTCAGACAAAAGCAGTAACATCTAATGAGTTGTTTATTAAATTATACTAAAATGTGCAGTTACAAATTGTGTTTATTTTCTTAATGCCCACGCGGCATTTCTGAGGCCATCCGTATATGTTTGTTCTTAGGTTTTACAGCTGAAACCATTCACCAGTGCTAGTGAAAAGAGAAAGCCCCTCAGCCCTACAGAGTTCTGTCACCAAGTCCATTGACACTGCGGACACTTTATTGGCCTTTAGTTCCTCCAGAGTAGAATCCTGTTTGTGTGTGTGTGGACAGAAATGAGAAAGAGCAGAATGGTGTATCTTTCATACTGGAATATTTGGCATACTGGCAATTTGGGACAGAATTGTAAAAAGAGTGTTTCAAGGATAGCAGTGTTCATGGCTAGGCTTAAAAAATAAGGAAAAGCTTTAGCAGGGTATCCACCTGGACATGTGTTTTACTGACAGGTCATGGGACCAGTAGATCTAAGGGACAGTTCTTTCCCATGAAGGTGGCATCACAGGCAAGATTTATAGGTCCCTGGGACACTTGGCCAAAGCTGTAACCTTTGGTTTAAGATGGATACTGGGATGTTTCACCTGAAAAACAACTCTTCTTTGGGACAGTTGTGGAATAACTGGAGCCTTGACCAGGACAAGTGTCATAGCAAAGCCCTGCCAAGGAAGGCGTCCTTTCTTGATTCTCGTAGGGATACTGAGGATTCCAGACATTCCAAACAAATGGAAATGTTAGTGCCTTCTTAGGAACAGTACTTGTCAAACAACTGACACGGACGTGACCCAGTTTGCTGCCCTAGCTCACCCCGGTTTGCCCTGAGTTAAAGATTTTATGTTGCTAATTCAGTTTTCAGAGTCTAAAGTCTGTAGGCTGTAGCTGATCATTGGTAATTAGAACTGCATGCGAGATGTGGTTACCTCTCCAGCTGTTAATTTAACTTAGCTAATTAGGTAGATGTGGAGTCAGGGTTTGATTTTCTGCAGAATAAGGAGAACAAATGATGTCTGTTGGCGAGGAGCTGAATTCACGGCTCCAAAGGACACTGGGACTTTTACTCCTTTCGAGCAAGCATTTACTTTCTCCAAAGCCATGGTTTACCTTGTGTGCCACGGTTTCCTAACCTAGGCAGTCTGCATCTAAGGAGAAAGGAATCCACTTGACTTGGATGGGGACAAGATGATACAATATAAAACCACAGCTCCAAAAAGATTTACTAAAGATTGCATTTCAATAGGGATGAAAGTGAAAAAGAACTGAGGCCTGGGAATCCCAAGTTAGGGTATGAAATAGACTGTGAAGCAAAAATTTGAGAGACACAAGCAGCTGCTTTGGCCAGAAGTGGATGGTGTGGAGTGTGGGAAACTAGTGGCTTCCTAAGTCTTAAGGTTTGAACTGGCAAAGTCTCCAGGATGACCCTGAAGCTGCACACACCGACAGGTTACACCACCTCCCATTGTCCAGCCAGGAGCCTGGCTGCCAGACTAGGTGTTTCCTGGCACTGGAGCCATAGTGTGACTCCTGACATACGTAGGTGGTGATCAGGGGAGGGGTTGGCTTGTTCATTCAGGAAACTAGCTTTTTTATTACAAAGGGCTTTTTATGGGGAGTAGTGCTCACTGAGACCCATATGGAAATTATCACTTCTTTGGTGCAATAATGCCTTCCAGTTGGGCCTGAAAAACAAAAACATTCCATTAATACTGGAAACTTCCAGCCCAACAAATAGCTGAGAGGTGATTAAAAAGTTTGGAAGAACGATTCAAATGCTGCCACTCCAAGTGTTCTTATTTTCTTACATTCTCAACTCCATACTTTCTATATTAACTGATTTCTGGCTTGGCATAAAGTCTTGGTACATTAGGAGTAACCAGAACTCTCCTGGTTTCCATATAATAATAGCTTAGTGTATAACATAAAGTGTTGAAAGGGAAATTGAATAAAAGTTGTTAAAATAGTGGTTTTTCCTTGCTCAGACTACAGGTCTGAATATGTCTGCTAAGTTAAACATTTGGCTTTCTGGGTTAGAATCCTGGGAGTGCTGCTGGGACCAGAGGTTTGGAAAACAGCAAATCATCAGCCGCTGAGACAACTTGACACCCAATTAAAGAAAATTGCTACCAGTGAGTAGGGAGCTGTCTATCTTCTAGTAAAGTGTAAGACACTTGGGAGTTGTTTACTGTGCTCTGCTGGCAGCCAGGACGATAATTTACTCTCATGGTCTGTGGACGGACCTGTGAGTAGCTCTATCCTGAGGAATGCAAGAAGCTTTATTTGGAATGCTGCTTTGCCTCTATAAAAATGTTTCACTCCTAAATAATCCTCCACCTTGGGGATTACAAGGTTGCTTTTGAATGTCAGAAAGATGCTAAGGTACGTACTTAGTTTTGCTCTTACTACTAACACTGTAGGGGAAACTGGGAAACCCAGACTTTGGCCAAGGAATATGGCTGATAAAGGGCTGTAGTAGGGAAGCAGCTTCAGAGGCTGCTAACTAAATGCAGACATCTGGCTATGAAAGCTTCTAACTTTTCTTTGTTTCTGTTAAACTTCACCAACAAGACAATCTCTGTCATCTTGGCTGGTGGTTAACACAAAGCCTTTATTGCAAACGGATGGCCTCTTTGGTGTGTGTGCGGAGCCAAGGTGCCTGCCAACCTCAAGGATGGAACCTTACTCTAAGACTAGGCATCGGGCCAGGATGATGGGAGAAAGCTGCTTAATGTCCATAGGCCATACGTGCAGAAGCGTGATTCTCAAACCTCAGCAAGCCCCAGCCTCTAAGACTGTCAATAAGGACTGCAGCATGTGAAGGCCCTTGGTCCAATCCCCAGTATTGCAGAAAAGAAGATGGATTGTAAGATGCCAACTACACAGTTTCTGTTCAGTGGATTTGGGATGGGCCAATGATTTATTTTTTCTTTCTTTCTTTTTTTTTGAGATAAGGCCTCACTATCCCAGGCTGGCTTCAAACTTGGGATCCTCTTGACTCAGCCTCCTGAATGCTAGGATTACATGTGTGCCCTATCTCCACAACGTTTTGGTTTGGTTTGGTTTTGATACAGGGTTTCACTGTGTAGTTCAGGCTGGCCTTAGACTCATCTTGTAGCCCAGGCTGGCCTTAAATTCACAGCAATCTTTATGTCTCAGTCTCCCGAGTGCTGCGGTTACAGGCATGTGCCACCACACCCGGCTCAGTAATGTGTTTCTAAAAGCTGCCCCTGATAAGGATGATGCTGGTCTGTGGCCTGACCTTTGTGAACCTCAGCCTGACAGAGCATGGAGTTGCAAAGGCCTATGGCCTGGCCTCCTGTCCATACAACCTGTTTTCCCACAGCTCTCCCTTCCTTCTCCCTCAGGTGCACAGAGGATGCCACCAAGCAGAGGAAGCAACTGGACTCCGGGGAAAACCACCACCAGCAGCTGGATCCCTCTGGCCACACACTGGAGAAAGTCTCCAGTGTCAGGTTCTTCTCAGTGGCCTTTGTTGCCCACCCGCTGACTTTACCCCAGACGCAGTAGCTCAGTGGATGTGAGGAGAAAGCACTTCTGGCAAGGCCTGCAGAGGAGACCCTGCCCATGGAGGAAAATCCAAGGACCAACTCTAAGGGAAAAGCAGCTCCACTTTCTGCAATATTCTCACTGAGGATGGGCAACTCTTCCAGCGGGGAAAGGTCTTTCATAGGCCAAGGCATCACGGAACATCAGAGTCAAGAACAGGTCAGCCCGGGTATTTAGCTCAGTGGCACCATGCCTGCCTTGCAAGTGCAAGGTCCTGAGTTTGATCCCTGTTACTAAAAAAAAAAAAAGTCTACACCCCAGAGCTAGAGGGATGGAAAACCTGGTAATGACCCCTCACCTGCTCCCAAAGCCTACTTTACCCCTTGGTGGTTCATGTGGACCAACATTCAAAAGTTATCAGCTGCCAGGTGTGGTGGCTCACGCCTGTAATCCCAGCGCTTGGAAGGCTGAGGCAGGGGGATCACTGTAAGTTTGAGACCACTCTGGGCTACATAGTGAGTTCTAGGTCAGTCTCAACTACATAGTGAGATGCTGTCTCACCCCCCTCCCCCCCAATAAAAAGGAGAAAAGGAATGAACAGCCTGGCCAGTTAAGCTGGGGCGAGGGCACAGGGCCTGCACCTCTAATACCTTCAACTGCTGATTTGTCCGTTTTAGGAACTGAATCTCCTCATTGTGCTTCTTCTCTTCCACCTGTCGCCTCTCCGTCTCCCTCTTCTCAGTGGCCTCACATTTTGCCTTCTGTTCATTCACTTGCCTCTCTAGGTCTTTCTTTTCTGTCTCCAAATCTGCAATCTGAAGACACAATGCTCCACCATCCTGGGACGTCACCAAGTGGACGGGTGGTGTGGGGGGACTTGGGAAACAGCTGTCCAACCTAACATTGCCTGGGTTTGTACTGCCACCCAGTGGGAGGCCAGTGACTGGCACGGAGCTGTGTTAGGGGACAGCCATGCCAAGACCACCAGACTGACCAGCAGTAACCTCAAGGCCCCACTGGGGTAGTTCAGGGCCGGGGTCACAGATGCAAGAAGGGCACTCTAGGGGCCAGAATTCAGTGTGGCAGTGACAAGTATGTGGCCCCAAGATTGACAGAAGAGCCTCAGAGGACCAAAGGGTCCTGGTAAATGCCACTCACTTTCCTCTCCATGTCTGACTTCCCCTGTTCGGCCTGCAGGGCCTTCCTCATGCCGAATGCCACACTGCTCTCATACAAAGTCTGGTAGGCAGCGATGGTCATGCGAATCTCATCCCGGACACGCAGCAGCAGCAGCCCCCTCTCCGCACAGTTGATGGTGACTTCCCGGATCAATTCATCTTCCAATATGCACACCGCAGGATCAGAGAAGGCAGAGGCTTGGGGATGCACACTTTGTCTGTGGCAAACCACCCTTCCTCTTGGGCAGGGCTCTAGGTGTGCTCTTCCTTGGAGACACAGCCTCAGGGAAGGCTCTGGGGAAGGCACCTTCTGTGGACCAAGGAGCCAGACTATGCAGCCACTCTTCTGAACTTGGCACTTGGGAGTGGCATGCAGTCAGCAAGGGTGGGTTGGCCATGGCACAAGGAGGCTAGGGCTGCAAGATGTTTGCAGCAGTGGGTCCCTTCCTTTCCGTCTTCGGGCAGAGTCTGGGCACTAGTAAAGAAATCTGATCTTTTCAATGTGAAAACAGAGGCTGTTTTCATGTGGCTTTTCTGTTGGCCTGATTTGGGACTGGGAGCAGCAGGATCTAGAGCTTGCTCCCCTCCATAAATACCAACTTGGAGGACAAACCCAAACCTACTGAGATTGAGGGGAGCCTGAGTTTGGAGGTGGTTTGCAGATTAGGGTCCCAGAGGCCAGCAAAAGAGGTCTAGCGGGCAGCCATTTGACATTAGCACTCGAGGAGGCAGAACTTAAATCCCTTGCATCTGCCGGCTAACCACAAATCACTCTGCAGTATTTTTCTGGACCAAGGGCTGAATGTTGATGGATGGGTATAAATACAGAACTTAATTTTCTGATTAAAAATTATTTTATGCTTATTATAATATTGTATCATTGAAAAAACAAAGACTTTAAAGTTCTTATCTTTAAACATCTACTAGGGAATAAGGATCCCAGCTTGTCAGGAACACAGTGAGTGGCAGGTAGGGGACTGATGGGAGAGGCAGGGCTGGAAGGGTGAGAATCCATAGGAACTGGTGGGTGGAAGGACAAGAGATGATTGCAGAATGGGGTGGGCTTCAGCTCAGTGGCGCTCAGGACTTGGATCTGTGTTGAAGGGGTAGGGAAGGAGTCCGGAGGGTGTATGGTGCCCGCCTCCACGTGGCCCACTCACCAAAACACTGTGAGTAGAGCTCCCTGCGCACAGGGCAGATGCCCGTCTCCCTGGCCTGCCGCTGCTGCAGCTTCAGGTCTAGCTGCTCCTGGAGATGCACCACGTCCATTCTGGTGCTGGGGGTGCTGGATACCTGCTGGATCCATAGCTGTGTGTCTTCGACCCACTCCCTGCGGCACAGACACAGGCAGGCTGAATGCAACCCTGTGCTTGAGAAGGCCCTTGAGCCCAGCCTGAGCAGGAGTGAGAGGTAGCTACGCCACCCCCCAGAATCTCCCCCTCTCTTTTCCTTGAAGAGTGGGTTCCAAAGCCATGCCCACCACATGCCCCATAGAGACCCTACCTTCAGGGATGGGTAGGTGGGCTATCTGTACTCTAAGGGTCCTCCTAACAGATATATGGGCATTTTGCTTCATGTGAACAGAAGGCCCAGTGGGAATTCCCCACCAGTTTATGGGGTAGAGATTCAGGGCACCATGAACCCTATTTAAGTCAGAAAGAGGCCAATATGTGTGTTAGGAGTGGGGAGGTTCTTAAAGGGTGGTGCTTGTGTGGGCTCCCCATCACCAGCCCTGTGTTGGAGGCACAGCAGGCCTTGGATGACAACATGGAGTTTGAGGACAGAACCTTCATGAGTGGAGGTCTTCTGGGCCATTGGTAGCAAGGAACCAATTGACAAATCATCCCTTCCCTTGACTTCCATCTCAGGGGAGATCACAGTCTCTTTCTGCCTGTTTCCCCTTCATCACAGGCTTCACCAAGTGCCAGCTGGGCATGATGGTACATACCTGTAATCCTAGCACTCTGGAAGGCTGAGGTAAGAGGATCAGAAGTTTGAGGCCAGCCTGGGCAACTTAGCAAGATCCTATCTCAAAACAAAACATGAAAGGGGCTGAGGATGTAGCTCAGTGTGAAGGGCCTGTGTTGAATCCCAAATACTCAAGCTGGGAAAGCGATGCTGCCAACTTACTACATAAAAATAGATGAAAGGGCATGTCTGTGACAACTGTGGCTGCAGAAGGAAAAATCTGAGTAAAGGGATCATGTTGGGGGGAAGGTTCTATTATACAGGATTCTTCAGGAAGGCGTCCTGGAGGAAATGACACGAGCAAAACCAGAGTGGAAAATTGAAGGGGACCAGAGAATACTGGAGGAAGAGCATCCTTGGCAGTGAGGACAGCAACCCTCAAAGTCCTGTGGTGGATGAGCGATGGATGTGTTTCAGAAAAGATGAGCAGAAGGTCCTGTGGCTTTAGCACAGTGAACAAGACGGGAAATAACAAGTAGTAAGGTCACGGAGATAGCCAGGTGTGGTGATGCACACCTGTAGTCTCAGCACTTGGAGGCTGAGGTATGAAGATTACCATGAGTTCCAGGCCAGCCTGGGATACCCAGTGAGTTCAAGGATAGACTGGACTACATGACAAGACCCTGTCTCAAACAAACAAACAAATCAGGGATATGTTAACATGGCCAGATGATGCTATGTTTCCCCAGCCACCCAGTCAAGCTGTCACAAGACCGGCATAATCTGATTTTTGATTTTTGGGGGGGGTATCGGGGATCAAACTTGGACCCTTGTACTTGCGAGGCAGGCGGTGGAGCCACGGAGCCAAATCCCCGGCCCAACCTGACTTGATAAAGGATGAAGGAGCAGTGTGGAGAATAGACTGGAGGAGCAGAATGGAAGCAGGTTGTTAGGCAGGAGGCCACGGCAAGAGTGTTGGTGACAGATGCTAGGAGCAAGATGGCAGTGGCAGGGGCGGTAAAGAGAAGTTAGATTCGGCAGATAATTTTAAGGTGGAGCCAAAAGAATCTGTTAGGACACGTGATGTGACAAACCAACCATCAAGAAAGGCAGCCTGAGTCCAGAGGAGGAAGACTGGGATGAGTCAGTTGGAGGATGAAAAGACCGTGGCTTACTTTGGACATAGTGGGGTTGGCCGTCTTGATGAAGGTACTGAGGAAGTTAGGTAGACCACATGGGGAGAGGAGAGTGCTGGAAATACACATTTGGGAGCCATCAGCACACAGACAGCATCCAAAGCCACAATATAGCTGAGAATACTTAGGAAATGAAAGTGGATTGAAATAAAACTTTCTGACACTCCCCCCTTCCAGGATTCAGACAGATGAAAACGCTAGGAGCTGTGGGCAACTGGGAGGAAATTCCAGCCAGGACTAGAGGCCGAACACCTTCCCCTGTTCCTAAGCTCCGGATTGTAAAACCCTGTGTTTTCTCCCAGCCACTGGACCTGCTTCATTATTTATTTATTTATCTATTATTTATTTTTACCTTGGGGGCAGGATGGCATTCAAGATTTCTTCTGCCTGCTTTGTAGGATCTGGAACACAGGAAGGTGAGGGGAGTTTGGCTTTGGGTGGCTGTGGGACCGTACTGGAGGAGCCAGGCTGCTGGGGGCTGACTTTCAGTGGCCGAGCCTGAGAAAGGAAGGTGAGGGCAAGAGATGAATCAGGTACTGGGCTCCTCAAATCCTGTCCCTCTGGATTGCACATCTCCCATTCCCAGCCTACTTTCCCCATCTGTCTGCTCAGCAGAACTGTCTCAGAGCAGAAAGAAGCCATGAAGAAACTCTGGCCCCAATGCAAGGCCTGAATGGTGCTTCTGGCATGAGCAGTCAGGCTCTGCTCTGCCCACGCCAGTGATCCGGAAATCTCTGCGGATCTTGGACCCGGCCACTGTTTATAACAGCAAGCCCCATCCATCTCCGCGTCACTTCTTTCCCATCCTAAATCTCTCTCCTGGGTCACACCCGACATCTGGGCTTTTAGTAAACTCTCCCACCCCACTTCCTGTTCGTAATTCCCTTTACTGGCAGTCGCTGCAATCCCTGTCCTTTGGTATTTCTGACCCTCTGCGTGGGGATCTGCGTTTCCCCATTGGAGCTTCCGGGCTCCTCTGTCCCTTGAGACCAGTCCTTACCTTGGGGCTCCGTTTTTCCGTGTTCCGGCTCACTAACACTGGCGTGTCATACTTGAGCAGAGAGTCGGCAGGGGGGATCATGGCGCCGTGGGGATGGCAGCTCTGTAGCTGCCCCTCTAAGCTTGGCTTTGTTTGTCGTCACCATGGAAACCCTCTCTCCCAGCCCCCTGGCTGGGGCGGGGCTTCGGAGAAGGGTGGGGCTACTAACGCTTGGGTTTCTTGGGTTTCCTTTCATTTAGCCCGCATCCAAAACTTTGGTTCTTGGCTTCCTAGGCCTCCTCCTGGGTCAGCCGGTCGCCCTGGCACTCTCAGAGGCAGGAAAAATAGCAAGGAAAATAGGGGTTCGAATCCTTGCGTCTGCATCTAGTTGGCACGTTGAACGGGGTGGGCAGATCACTGCTGAGTCCCAGATTTGTGACCTATAAAATAGAAATCATTTTCCAACTTCTGAAAGCATTGTGGACGATTACCCGAGAAAGGCATCCAGTATTCCAAGATTTTCGTTTGTTTGTTTGTTTTCCTTAAGTACCAAAGATCAAACCAAGGACTTTGCGCTTGCAAGGAAGGCATGATGCCACGGAGCTAAATCCCCGGCTCAAGTATTTCTAGGTTTTAAAAAGTGTTTTTACAAATGTACTAGTACTGCCGAGTGTGGTAGCATAAGCTTGTAATCCCAGCACTGGGGGAGGGTGAGGCAGGAGGGTTGCCGCGGGTGGGAGACCAGCCTTAACTACATAGCGAGACCCTGTCTCAAAAACCAAAACCAAGGGCCGGGGGTTTTAACTCAGTTGTTTCGCCGCCTGCCTCCCAAGTGCAAGGGCCCAAGCGGTATCAAAAACAAAAACAAACAAACAAACAAAAAACCACAAATAAAGTGGAAGCTGGACCTGGCGGCGCATGTGTGTAACCTTAGCACTTAGACTGAGGCAGAAGGATCACAAGTTTGAACTCAGCCTATACAGTTTTGCACGATCCTGTCCCAAAATAAGCGGAGTAGAAGGGTTAGGGAACTGGCTTGGTGCTAAAGGCCCTGAATGCAAGCCCCAGTACCGTAAGAAAATAAACATGAAAATAATGGGGAAAAAATAATCAAGATATATCATGTACAGGTACAAATTCCATATGTTATCAATATGTGTATCTAAAGTGTACCAATAAAATTAAATAAGGAAAATAATGAACGACTAATTGTAAATGGAGTCCAGCAGCTGTTCAGCCTGTAGTAATCCCAGCGCTCATGAGGTGAGGCTACGTAGTGAGGGTCTGAGTCAGAGAGTTTGAGGTCAGCCTAGGCCACATAGGGAGACCCGGTCTCAAAAACAAATAATAAATGAAAAAAAAAAACCCAAATAATAAATGGATAAATGACAACATAATATAAAGTTCAAGAAAAAAAAAAAAAAGGTTGGGGATGTAGCTTAGCAGCACCATGCCTGCCTGGCATGTACAAGATCTTGAGTTCGATTCCTGGTACCGTAAAAAAATTTAAAAAGAAATGGAAAAAAAAAATACTGATTTCAGTGGTTACTACCTATGGTTGCATTTTTGTCTCTTCTTTCCTTTCTATTTCCACACTTACAAGTAATCACAGTTTGAGCACCTTTTTGTATACATTGCTTTAATAAATCGGATTTTCTATTTGCAATATAGTTTGTAAACAGCATCACTAGTGGACGCATATAATCCACTAATTGGCTAAAAAATTTCTTACTGCCAGGCACTTGGGCTGTTTGTTTTGGGTGAGAAGGGTTTCACTATGTAGGTCAGGCTGGCCTTAAATTCACTGTATAGCCCAAGCTGGCCTCGAAACACACGGCGATCCTCTTGCCTCAATCTCCCGAGTGGTGAAACTCCAGGTACACACCACTGCAGTTAGGGTAGAAGTTTGCTCTTGAAATTTAAAACTCCCGCCTCCCACTACCCAGCCGGATTTACTACGGCCCCGCCCACCACGTACTCCCCTTCTCTGTCGTGAGGGCTGCTGGGAGAGAGCCCAAACGCCGGAAGCGGAAGTTCAGGGCTCTAGTTCGTCATTTCCTTCAGCGGGCTCCGTGGTACGGTCCATTTTTTCTTTGGCTCTGCTGTACGCGCAGAATGAAGGAGGTGAAGAGCGAACGGGAGCGGGGGAGCCGGCGAAGGCATCGTGACGGGGACGTGGCGATGCCCGCGGCTGCGGTGGTGGTGAAGCAGGAGCGCCTCAGCCCAGAGGCCGCTCCTGCAGCCCACCGTCGACCCGACTTTTCCGGCGGTAGCCCTTCGCCGCCGGCCGGAGAGCCCGGCCGCCCTGGCCACCGCAGCAGCCGAGCCCGAGGAACCAGCCGGTAAGTGGAGCTCATTGAGAAAAGAGGGCAGGGGTAATGTTAGAAACAGGCCTCGACTGCTGTACCAGAGCGCAGCAGCTTGTACTCAGTCCCGAGGTGGTGGAGGTCACTAAAGGATGTGTAGTTCAGTACTTGTCATTTGCGTTATAGCGGAGTTGTAAGTGTCTAATGCCTAACGGGCAGGATCTCGCCCCTTCACTCAAAGGAGGAATGTGATGAGAAGGAAGTGGGATAAGGAGGAGGAAGAAGTGCAAGACTTGCTCGTGGATTG